TGTACTCAGAGTTTGTTTTAACAAAGGCCTTCCTTACATTACTGAAAATTTTAATTTCATCAGCTAGACCTAAAAAATACAGTTGACCCTCGAACATCACAAAGAGGGTACTTATACAGATTTTTATGCAACAAATACCTGTACTGTTTTTGATCCACGGTTGCAGAGGGTCATTACACAAAGGGAACGTGAGCACCGAAGATTTCGGTATTCGAGGCAGGGGTGAGGAGATCAGCGCCCTGTGACCCCACGTTGCTCAAGGATCCGCTGCATCACTTCCTCTGCATTCACTCACTGAGGACACACCACCACGAAAGCAGCCCCGCTTTTCAGGCCAACACACGTTCACTCCCAAAGCCTGGCAGCGAAAATCTGGGAACTCCTGCCTGCCTATCCTGTCCAGAAATGAGTTCATTCGTAACGAGACTGTCACTCAGCATCTGTCAAAGGACAACTGAATGAGACACTGATATTTCAGGAAAATCATCTGGGAGATAAATGAACTAAACTCTAATAAATCAAATCACCAGAATGAGGTACACCCGTATTACTGAGGCTTTTCTATTCTGCCTGAGGCTTTTACCTAGTTTCACTACAACGACATGTTAAAAATGTTTCTCTATCACTCGTAAAACATTTTGTCCACATATTAATGTCATTTTATATGCAAATTTAAACAATTACTTATTCTTCATACAAGAGAAAAGTCTGCTTCTCCTGGTTAATTGGCATACTTCCTTTCATTAATCAATGCCAACTATAATTAGTACTGTTTCCTCTTTCACTTTAACTAACAATTTAGACTTTAAAAAAAAAAACCTTCAGCTACATGCAGATGCCGAGCTCTCCTTGCCCTCCTCCCCTTTGGACCTCTCAACCCTTACCATTTCAGTGCTTTCACACACCTGTTACAGCAAAACCATCTCACACCCTTCCTCAAAGTAGACAGATAATAAAATATATACATGCATTGACCTTTCAGAATGACCCAAACTCTTGAATGTTCAAAAACATTCACCCACGGGAGACACGGACCCTCCCAGTGTCCTCCTCCGGCAGCCCAGAGCACAGCCCAGCGCCAAGACTGCTCAACTGAAGCTGTTATTTGAATATCCACTTGCCAGGAACTGAGATCATAAAAATGAGTCAATCCTGGGTCTTAAGGAGATTAAAGTCTTTTCTTGACAAAGAGGAACCGTTTGTAGGAAAGTGTAACTTTCAGGAGAGCCCTGAGAAAGCTCATATTGCGATAAAATGAGTCCAGCCCTCACCGGTGTGGCTCAGTGGACAGAGCATCGGCCCTCGGATGGAAGGGTCCCAAGTTTGATTCCAGTCAAGGGGTGTACCTTGGTTGCAGGCTCAGTCCCCAGAAGGGGGCATGCAGAAGGCAGTTGATCAATGTTTCTAACTCTCTTTATCCCTCTCTTTCTCTGTATAAAAATCAATAAAAAATCTATTTTTTTAAAAAATCTGAGTCCAGTATTTTGATGATCTGGCCCAGCTGGGGTGACAACTGACTGAGCATCACCCTATGCACTGATAGGTTGCCAGGTCAAGGCACATACCTGAGTTGTGGGTTGGATTCCTGATTGGTGCATGCATGGAAAACAACCAATCGATGTATCTCTCTCACACCAGTTTCTTTCTTTCTCTCCCTCTGTCTCTCTCTCTCTCTCTCTCTCTCTCTCCCTACCTGTCCCCCGCCCCCCCCCACCCCTATCTCTAAGCATGTCCTTGGGTTAAGATGAAAAAAAACAACACACACACAAGAACTATTCAGAAAGCCAAAATGCAGAAGCAACAACCCAGGTGTCCACTACGGATGAATGGATAAATAAAATGTGGTTCATACACATACAATGAACCATTATTCAGCCTTAAAAAGGAAATCCTGACACAGGCTACAACATAAATGAACCCTGAAGAAGCTTAAGTGAAATACACCAGTCACAAAAGGACAAATATTGTATGATCCCACTTGTGTAAGGTTCCAAGAGGAGTCACATTCATAGAGAAATAGAATGATGGCTGCCCGGGGCTGGAAGGAGGGTGGAGTGAGAGTTAGTATGTAATGGGGCAGAGTTTCAGTTGAGGGAGAGGAAAAAGTTCTGGAGATGATGGTGCTGATGGTTGCAAAACAATGTGTGTGTACTTCATGCCATAAAACCATACACTGAAAACTGGTTAAAGTGATAAAATTAGTTATATACATTTAGCATAGGAAAAAACTAAAATACTCAGATGAGAGGTCACCTGAACATGTAGGTTACACAGCCTTTCCCTCATTCAACAACAAGCATCAACTAAGGACTTCTGCACGTGCTACGGCTCCTCCTCCACAATCCACTTAGAACACCAGCGTAGTGCAAGGGACAGAGCACGGTGCAAGGGCTCTGCAATCACACCATCAGTCCTGCTCAGCCACTTCCAGACTCCAACTCCAGGCAATTATCTCTGTATGTAAAGTAAGGACAGTGCCTCAGGGTCACTTCTCTCCTTTGCCACAAGTAATGACCGCAAGGTGTTAAGGTCACAAGTGAGAGAGTATCTATTAAATGTCTACTTTCTCAAGGGAAACAAGCATCGCCCACTGTTGGACGGTGGCAGGGAACGAACAGAGCAATGCCGTAAGTCCTCCTTCCTAGGTGACGCGGAGCGCACTAGCCCACACACACCACCACAGAATCACCTCCAAGTAAGGTCAAGCCAGATGACAATGAAATGTCCTCGAAAACCAGGAGAGTAACACTCGGCAATGGCAAAACCACCTCGCTGCACAGTCCCTACAGAGCCACAAGCCGGGTACGGGAGACACATCTCCACCTGCGACCAGGCGATGGCAGGGTGAGGAGCAAGCCTTCCCTGAAACACGTGCAGGAAAAGGCTTCTCTCCCCAAATTAAATCTGACTAACACATCTTTTCTTCAAACGGCTCAAATGGCATTTTGTTGCCATGAATAAACCCACACACCAACATTACCATTTAAGCGCTTCAAATGATCATATTAAAGGCAATCTTTAGTGTCTCTAATCTAGAGACAAAATTTTATAAAATATGTCCTACATCAAGTTTTGAAATAACTGTGTGTGTGTGCATGTATGTGGCATGTATTCCCTATAAAGTATGCACGTGCACGTGTAGCTATCTAGTGTGAAAGACAACACCTGGCGAAACAGGCCGATGCTTCCAGAGCCTAGTTCCTGCAGGAATCAGTGATGCCCAAATTACTATTCACAAGCCACCTCCTCCAGAATCCCGCACCGGCATCCTTCCTGTAATAAATCATTGGAGCTCTTGGTTAAGGCGAGTATTTTTACTGACAAATGTTAATGTTTACATCAACACGTTTTTCAGCTGCGTTAACCTTGCATTAACGCACATTTTTTAAAAATTCCCTCATTTCCAAGGTACCTAACTCCTGCCCTTTTCCATGCGCTGTGCACTGCACTTGAGGGACAAGCAACTGGAAGACAACGGGAAATCCGAATGGTGACGATGCAGAAAGCTCCAAGGACGAAGCACCTCAGGAAGCAAGCGCCTGCTTCCAAGGAAGGGCTCTTGGATTAGACGAAGGAAGGTCCTTAAACCGAATCGATGTCCTTACACCGAATCCATGTCCGTAAACCGCGCCCGCCCGTGGTATGAACACTTAAGGCTTACGTGGATCGGTCACGCGGGCGTTTTCAGCCTGACTTTCTGCACCAAAACGCTCCCTGAACACTGCAGGGTGAGGCTGGCTCTCACCTGCTCCCTGCACAGCTGCAGGCCACGCACACGCTGCTGGCAGACACGCTGCTGGCCTGTGGGGCCTGCGCTGCGGGCCAGGCCGGCGGGCAGCCGGGCGCCTCCGGGTCATCTCCGCAGACCTGACGCGGGGCTGAAGCTCACGCTGATTCCCCGCAGATTACAAGC